AAAAATCAATATGGAATATTATGGATTAAGGTATCAGAACAGTTATTTCCCTTTAATGAAGATGTATATCTCTGTCATGTATATATATACCACCTGTTTTATTCTAAAGTATTGCCTTCTGTAGATTTTGATATTTTTGATCAATTAGAGTTAGATATTATTAAGTATAATAATTTAGGAAAAATATATGTTACTGGAGACTTAAATAGTCGAACGTCCGATTATTTAGACTATTTTTTCCTTTGATAGATATATTGATAATGATTTGTCTATGGTAAATACATGTGACATACCACCGCGTGTAAACAAAGATCACGTGCTCGATTTCAACGGTAGGCGATTATTAGATATATGTCAAATTACAGGACTACTTCTTGCAAATGGTCGTTTGTTAAATGATTATGGAAAAGGCGAATATACCTTTTGTTCAAAAAATGGTCAAAGTACTGTTGATTATTTATTACTTAATTTCAATGACTTCGATACTTTGTCGAATTTTGAGATTTTAGAACAAAATGAACATTCCGATCATAATCCGCTTTTGTTTAGCCTGTATAGGAAATCACATGATTGTAGGCAGACGCCCACTGCGCAAGAATACGATGATAGTTACACGAAGATAGTCTGGGACGACAGTAAACTGGACGAGTTTCGCGCACGGCTCATTAATATTCATGACGACTTAAATCGGTTAGCCAATCAGGCGTCGAGCGAGTCAGTCCAGCGTGTAGTTGACGAGTTTACCGATATAATGTATAGAACTACTTTCGATATCTTTGGAAGGGTCGTTGTAAACAAAACGCCAAACCATAATTATAAAGAAAATAAAAAATGGTTTGATCAAAGTTGTTATAATTCAAAAAGGAATTTAAAACAGCGCGAAATTTATTCAATAGAAGTAGAGATAATGAATCTCGGTGCAATTTCGTGCGTTGTAGGACACGATATAATAAAATTAAGAGAAGGGCTAAATATAATTTCAGGGTAAGGGAAGGTAAAAAATTAACGATTTAGCAAAAAAGGAACCTAGAAAATTCTGGAAAAAGATAAAAAAGAGTGTAAAGAAAATATCTCCACAGGCGGACACATTAACTACAGACAATCTGTATGATCATTTCAAGACTCTGTTTGGTGAAAGTCATTTAAATAATAACGATCAACCAGATTTCTCGCAAAATATATTATGTCATGATTTGGACAAGGACTTTTCCGAAAGTGAAATTCGGTCAGCTGTTTTCTCTCAAATAATAATAAAACCCCGGGAATTGATAACTTGCCCGGTGAGGTTTTTAAGGCGTCATATGAATATATTTCACCGTTTTTACTTGCACTTTACAACAGAATTTATAGTAGTGGTGAGTACCCTACATCTTGGGTGATGGAATAATAACACCCATTTTTAAAAAAGGTGATGCTAACGATGCATCAAATTATCGTGCTATAAATTTGATAAATATTGTAGCTAAAATCTATTCACAGTTATTACTTAATCGTATAACAGACTGGAGCAATAAGTATGATAAATTAGTACCAAATCAATTTGGGTTTCAAAAACAGAAATCTATAACTGATTGTATGTTTATTCTTCAATCTGTCATATCAAAGACGCTTAACGCTGGTCAAAAATTGTACACTATATTTATCGATTATGAGAAGGCTTTCGATAAAATTGATAGGTCCTATCTAATGCACAAACTTTTGGCTGAAAATGTTAGTTGTAAAATGGTTAAAGCAATTGAAGCGATGTACACCGTAGTGAGATCATGTGTAAGGTATAACTTTCAACTTTCGGGCTTTTTCGACTCGAACATAGGTCTGAAACAAGGTGACCCGAGTTCGCCTCTTTTGTTCATGCTCTTCGTAAACGATGTAGTCGAAAATATAAATGCAAATCTTGAAGGAATTTTTACTGTAAATGAACTTAAATTATTTATACTACTGTATGCTGATGACCAGGCCATTTTTGCGACGTCGCCGGAAACAATTCAATCCATTTTAAACGATATAGAAAATTATTGCACAACGTGGGGGTTAAAAATAAACACATCTAAAACAAAGGCTATGATATTTGAAAAGGGGAGACATACTACTTATAATTTTTATGTAAATAATGAAGTTATAGAAATAGTTAATTCTTTTAAATATCTTGGCTTAACTTTTTTTAAAAATGGAAATTGGTATCGATCACAGAAAAATATTGCGCAGCATGCTGGCTATGCGCTACACAATCTTTTTACAATATTAAATAACGTAGAACTGCCAATATATCAGAAATGTAAGCTATTTGATTCATTGGTATCGCCCATCTTAAATTTTGGATCGGAAATATGGGGTATGCACCCTGCTAACGATATTGAGCATGTTCACACGAAATTCCTGCGCCGTATGTTAAGTGTAAAAAAATCTACAAACTTAAATGCACTCTATGGAGAATTAGCTAGAATACCTATGTCCGTAATTCGTAAGATTAATATGATTAAATACTGGGTGAAAATATTAAATCAAGATGAGTCGTCACTTCAGAAAAAGGTTTACATTATGTTGAAAAACTGATTGCGAGCTAGGTAATGTTAACGACGGTAACTGGGCGTTTCAAATAAAGAGTATTTTGCAAGAACACGGGTTTCTCTATGTGTGGTTGCAACAATCCGATATATACACACAAATACCCTTTTTGGAGATTAAACAACGAATAATTGATAATTTTCTCCAAAGATGGTATTCAGAGGTGGTTAATTCTAGACGTTTAGAAACATATAGTTTATTTAAACACGCTTTCGAAAGAGAACGGTATTTGGAAGTTATAACTGACCAAAGGTTTAAGAACGCTTTAGCCCGCTTCAGAACCTCTTCTCATAAACTTAATATAGAAATCGGAAGATATAACAATGTGCCGCGAGATCAGAGGGTATGTTTATCATGCAACATGAATACATTAGAGAATGAATACCATTTTCTGTTAGTTTGCCCCAAATATAGAGAACTAAGGCGTAAATATTTGAAGAACTATTATTGTCACTGGCCTACGTTAACGAAATTTAAAAATCTTATGTCTTCTACATCAAACGCAACTATTATAAGTTTATCGAAATTTATATATTTTGCAACAAAATTACGTGTCTCCTAATCATAACTTTATGTATATGAAATGCTTTTTTTTAGGTAAACAGAGATATACATCAATACACATCATTATACTGTATAGTTTAAATTTTACACAGTGTCACCGTATAGTATTGTATTTGTTTATGTTATCACATAAAATCGTACTTCGTAAAATGTTTAGAAAAAATATTATGTATTTGTCTTTACAGTACTCTTCTGTAAATGATATAACATGCATGTCTTTCTATTGTCACTGAACTGGTTATATTTTGTATGGCTATAAACTTGTTATTTGTTTTATTGCAATAAAAATTTTTTGAGTTTATTTAAAAAAAAAATGGAAAAAACATAGGGGTTGTGTAGGGGGATTGGGTGTTTTTTCACCTTTCCAAAAGTTACACTTCAAAAAATTAGATGGGTATGTTTTTATTAACCTTAAAGTTGTATATTTGTCTGAGTTTTATAATATGCACACCATAATTATCCCATATAGCAAGGTAGGGCTGTCATTGAAAATCAAGACATTGATTTTTCCTTTATATGTTCAACAATTGATACAATATTGATTCACAATTTAGAATATGAATACAATTTAAAAGTAAATTCATGTCTTGTGAAAATATCATTGTTTGATAGTACCATTTTATAGCTTAATGAGATGCTAAATAGTTTAAACTTTACAGTAACAATTATTCTGAACTTGTTTGTTTAACTGGACCTGAGATTAGATTCTTTATATGTTACATGCTAAATAAATATTCATTATTTCTTTCCAATAATGGTACTCTCTTCTATTCGCGACACACAGTCTTAGTTAAAGGAGGACAACTCCAAAGCCTATATTACAGATATGTACTGCATGTTTATCTCCCCTATTTACATCCAGGTAGTAAACCTTATGTGGGCTCAAAATGTTTACCAAATTGAAAGTATTGAATTTATTTCAGTTTCATCTACATGTACTTAATAAAAATAGAATAATGCTGTATATGGGAGAGGGGGGGGGTGGTCATGTTAATGATAGTGGCAAGTATTGGTGAATTTATTAAGTAATAAATACAAGAAGGCTTAATATTTCCTATTAACCTTTTATAGTGAACTTTTTTTTCTTAATTCTAAGAATCCTTAGGAGCATATAAATAAAGATTTTATCAGCTGAAAGGAAAATTTAATAAAGTTCATAATTAAGAGAGATCAAATCAAATTAAAAATATGCAGAAATTGTTATAAGAATTCAGTTAAAATTAAATCAACATGCACAATTTAGAAGTCTGTAATACATGTAGCTATAATGAAACTAATTGGTACATGTATTCAAAATTTACATAGATGAATTTGATAATTTAAGAAAGATATACATGTATTTAAAACCACCATCTTTAACTCCTAAGTTATTTACCTGCTGCAACCAAAAATAAGCCTTTGCCACCTAAGTAGAGAGCCAGGGACATCATGGACTTCAAACCACTTGCCCCTTACCGTTTTGTGTTTAAATCTTGACAGGCACTTTGGATTATTTCATGTAAGATGCCATTTAGCTAGCTTGTAGGATGTCGGTAGTTGCACTCAGGTGCTAAATGTTTATGCCTGAAAGAATGCACTGAAGGGCACCTGAGGTCCTCCTCCACCAGTAAGGTCGGAAAGTCGACATGTTCTGTGTTGCTCTAATTTTAAAAAAAAAAAATGGCCAGTCTACATATTTGTCAACTTAAGATCTTGATATCCCCTAAATTGATGTGGGACAGTACCAAAAATAGAAGCTGAACAAGTCCATTTAAGAAGCTGAGGAGATTAAGGGGTAAAATTCACATTATTATGATTCATAACTGCAAGCTTGTGTTACAAAATTTATCTCTCATGATCATGAATATCATGGATCTTTTTTCTTTATTCAGGAGATGATTCTCACTGCTGTCTGGCAAATAGAAACAATTATCTACTACTGAAACACCAACATCATAGACATGGCGGGGAAGAGACATTGTTCATTGTTTTGTTCACCACAACCTATAGCTAGGCTGGTACAGATATTCCCAAAACTTGCGATAATTTTCTTTGTGATTCATTTCACTGTGATAATCTACTCATGTAAGTTCACTTTTTAATTTCTGTAACATTATGAATCATAGTTTTCTCTTATTCAAACAATCATGTTGTTTAACATGAAGACTGTCCTGTTTCACTGAATTTTCGTATTTTGAGCAGTAAGCACTGAATTAGATACATGATTCTGTATAAAACATTGGCATTGGCAATCCAAAATTGCAATGCCAATCCTTACTAAATTCTTTGTTTTTGTCATTTTTTGTGAAGCTGACTGGTTTAAGAATCACTGCTTTCATATGTTCTATTATTTACAGCTAATTATGTTTATATTTTGTCCAGTTTTGAGCCCCTCACCACATGCAATGAAGTCCAACGACGTCCCACCTGGAGTTGTTGATGATAAGATGCAGTCAGTTGGAAATCATATTAGAATTAATGCAAATATAAGTAAGTACATTTTATCACATAAGCCATGGCGCAGGAGTGTAATAAACCCATTTAATAATCAAAGCACAGAAGGCGCTGAATTTGTTTGGGTCTCAGAATGTCAGAAAGGTGAAGGTTGTGAGATTATGAAACCAATTTGTTTTTGTATAGTGCCACCAATGCTGTGTCCAGTGTTATAACTGTAGTAAATTAGCTATAAGGCTAATTGCAACACAGATATTCGATTCAATGTTTATTTGGCTTAAACAAATAAAAAAAAAAGTTACCTTAACTGGGATTAAAAAATTGGACTCCAGACTTCTCGCTTACTAACCGAGTGTGTAACCCCTTGACCACCGTGAAATTCTAAGATAAGAAAACCACATTATTCTAAATTAGGGTAACCCTTATTAATTTCACGGTAAACCTGTTGTTTAACACTGATGTAAATAATCAAGGAGCTTAATATAAACATGTTTATCTGTAAAGAATAACACAATATTAGAAATCTTCAACCAATCAGGAACTATTTTTTCTTCCCCGAGAATTAATGCAATCTTTATGCAGTGATTTCCCTTTAATTTTTCGGCTCTAGTGTACTTATAAAGGGAAGTAACCGCTTCGAGGAGTTTGGACTACATGTACTTTAACCAAGCAAGCTGAAGCAGCACATTGGAATGTGGTTCTGATGTCACTGTCATGCCACTAACTTAGATTTTATGAAAACATTGCTGACCAAATTAGCCTGGAAAATGTTATTCTTATAGCTACTGAGCCGCAAGCTTTTATGATCAGTTTTAAAGTGATAAAAATGTAGCTACTAAAATAAAGTTGGATATATATGTAGTTTATGTTTCTAAATATCTCATGCCTTTTTAATATATGAACTAATGCTATAAATAAGTCTGACAATTGAATTCTGGTTATTTTGCAGTACCATTGCCTTCTTGAAAATAAGATACAGGCACGCAATTTTTGCCACGAAAAATTGGCTCAAAGAAAAAATCTGCCAGTGCTAGCCCTGCATCAGGGTCTGAAATTTTGCTTAATAATATTAAAGCATGCTAATGTTACTTTTTAGCTCACCTGAGCTAGCTAAGGGTCAGATTTTAGGATCGTTAAATGTCCGTTGTCCGTCCACACATGTTCATTAACACTCTAGCGGTCAAATTTTTGACACGATCATCATCAAACTTTGCCAGGATGCTTTTCTTGGTATTAGCTTAGATGAGTTCAAACATGGGTCATGTCGGATGAAAAACTAGGTCACAGGAGCTAAAAATAGAAAAACCTTGTTAACACTCAAGTGGTAACATTTTTAATCATCATCAAACTTTGTCAGGATGCTTGTCTATGTAATAGCTCAGATGACTTAGAACATGGGTCATGTCGGATGAAAAACTAGGTCACAGAAGCTAAAAATAGAAAAACCTTGTTAACACTCTACTGGTCACATTTATGACTCAATCATCATCAAACTTGGTCAGGATGCTTGTCTAGGTAATTGCTCGGATGAGTTTGGTTATAGTCATCTTGAATGAAAAACTAGGTCACAGGAGCTAAAAATAGAAAAATATTGTTAACACTCTAGTGGCTACTGTTTTCATCCAAATATCCTGGAAATTGATCTGAAAGTTTGTTTTGATGATTTCTAAGTCAATTTTGAATATGGTTCACCTGAGGTCAAAAACTTAGTCACACTGCTCAAATATAGAAAATCCTTGGTACACTGTAGTGGTCACAATTTTGACTCACCTGTCATGAAACTTGGTCAGAATGCTTGTCTAGGTAATTGCTTGGATGAGTTTGATGGGTCAGGTGAGCGATCTAGGGCCATCTTGGCCCTCTTGTTACCATAGTCTTGTAAATGAAAAATTATTCTCTTTTGCCATAAACCACTTTAATTTTATATATGTAATAAACTGAATATTATGTTCATGTAGATTCAATATTGTATTTATTAAACTTATTGAATAAATTTCAATAAAACAATATTTATAATTATGTTGCAGGAGGCCCATATAATATGATATAAGTCAACTTGTTCAATAAATTTACAATGTAGTAATAAATATACAATATTCAATATCGTTTTCTTATTATATGATTCATGAATTTAAAATCAACAATTGCATTCTGAGAAAACTACTTTGTATTAACCTGACTTTAAACTGTTGGTAGATCAACTTTTATATTTTGATAATTTTTTAAAGAAAATCCCTTCTACTTTGATAAAAAAGTTTGATTTTTTTCAGATGCTAGTGATAATAATATATTGCATCAAAGACATAATGATGTCTCTTCAAGCAACAAGACCAAGTCTTTGTTACTTCAGAAACTCATCCCCAATGGTATCCATGGTAACAAAGGTAGAAAAGATTCCAACATAGAAGTTAATGTTCACAAGAGGAGTATAGAAAGATGAGAAGGATTACTACTAGTATGATTTATAGTTTATATGCATGCTGGATTTTTTTGTGATGTTACTATGGCAACAATTTCTGGTAACAATGAAATACAAAGAGCAAACACAAAGAGCAAATAGTGTTAGACCGGTGATAAAGATATGTACATACAAATGCATGATTAAAAGAAGATTTTGTATCAGAGCAACATTTTTGAAAGGAAGCTTCTTCAAGATGGTACATGTGATAAATACACATTATATATTGTTTAATTGAAATGTATTTGATGTGATGCTTTACTCCAAAATTATGTTTGTAGCTAGACTTATATTTTACAATTTTGATACATTCATGTTAGATAGATTATCAATATCATTACTATGCAAAGCATTAGTGCCATATTCGTATTTAGGCAACACTATGCCCATTTTCATTCTTGTTAAACTGAATTAAGTATTTTTAAAACAATGTCTTTTATAATGATGGTTTGTTTACCAAAAATTGATAATTACAAATATTTAAATAACTTCTTAAAAGACTGTACCACATATTTTACTGATCCATTCCAAGGAAATATACAGATCATGTTGGATATTGATAGTTAAAACAGAGCAATAAAACTGAAAACAATCAAAGTTAAATTTTGCAGATAATAACTGATTGATAGCTGGATGGGCATTATTTCATTTCGAGATCTCACTTCTTTACATTAATTAATCTTAAAATTTGATATTTGTTGTTATAAGAACAATTTGCCAGTTAGTCAAGTAAGATGATGTAACCTAATGTTAACCTTTTTTCTTGCAACTACAACATATGATGTAGCATCTAGACTTAGTCCGGCTGGTGTTCATCCTAAAAGAATGTATTGCATTATAATAACAATTAACTCTTACCATGCTAAATATCTGAACTGGACTTGTCCATCTTTCAACCAGGACAAAATCATTCATCATTTTGGGTGGAAATTTTCAAAAGACTTAATAACGAGTAGTGCAGACCATGATTGGAAGGCATGCACATCTCGGTCTGCACTGGTTACATTAAAGAATTTTTTGCTGATAGCAAGGTAAGAGTTAAAGAATCATAAAAAATGGCATTTTCAGAAGATATCAAATATACCAATGATTATAGTGATATGAATTTTGCATTTAAGTATTTTTTTATGAAAAAAAACAAAAAACAAAAACAAACAACAACAGCAAGTGTTAAAGAATTATAACTGGAGCAGTGCGGCTTGCCTTCCAAAACTAACCAGTCTTCTCAAGATTTGTGATTCTTCTGATGTAATCAGAGGAGGATACAAGTATAGTTAGGTACTTTCCATAGAAGGTGAACACAATGAGTATACTAATGATGGTGTTCAATTTGCCTTTTCTCAATCAAGTTTTGGGTTTTATATAGTGTAGTTATGTTTTTAGCTCACCTGAGCTTGCTCAGGGTGGGCTTTTAGGATCATTGAATGTCCGTCATCCATTGTCTGCCACATTTGTTCTTTAACACTCTAGTGGTCACATCTTTGCCTCAATCATCATCAAACTTTGTCAGGATGCTTGTCTAGGTAATTGCTCGGATGAGTTAGAACATGGGTCATCTCGGATGAAAAACTAGGTCACAGTAGCTAAAAATAGAAAAATCTTGTTAACACTCTAGTGGCTACTGTTTTCATCCAGATATCCTGGAAATTGGTCTGAAAGTTTGTTTTGATGATTTCTAGGTCAAGTTTAAAAATGGGTCATCTGGAGTCAAAAACCAGATCACACTGCTCAAATATAGAAAAACCTTGTTAACACTCTAGAGGCCACATGTTTTACTAAACTGTCATGAAACTTGGTCAGGATGCTTATCAGGGTTATTGCTCAGATGAGTTTGATGGGTCAGGTGAGTGATTTAGGGCCATCTTGGCCCTCTTGTTTCTTTGTATGTGTCATTTGACAGCTCATTTAATGAGTTAACAATCAGTGAAGTTATAATAGTTGAAATAATAGATAAGTTACCATGATTAACATGATCTGTTTTATTTGCTTGTCATGTAGTTTCCAAATCAATTACATTCCAATAAGATTATATCAGTTTTATTGTATCTTTTTACTACCATCTTACTTGTGTAGGAAAATGCTGATTAATAGGGCTTATTAACCTTTTGTGCACTTCTTATATTACATTTTAAGCATTTTATACATTGCTCTCTATTGTTTGTGGATGGTATTATGAGTAGATGAACTCTCAATTGTTTAGAGAGGATAAAATTGCAAGTTATGCCTACTTAATATTGTTACTGTTGAACACCCAGTTCACATAATTTCTGTTTTATGTGATTGGTAATGTTATGTAATTTCATAGTTAATTACACTCATTACGATTATATTATTCTTTAAATTACTGCCTAACTTGCATTGGACTATGATGATTCTTACTGCTAAGTAACCGTTCGTACACTTCTCTGATTAAGCGAGACTTACCTGTAAGTTGAAGGTTGATCATAATTTCATCCAGCACAAATCTCTCTTAGGGCTTACACAGATTACCGATGCAGCATCAACACCCAAGCTTGGTCATACTTAAGAATGATTTCTAGCGTGCAAGAAATCTTAAGGTATTTAAGCAGGGTGGGTGGGCGTGTGAGCCCTAAGGGAAATTTATGACCAACCTTCAACATAAGGTCAGTCTCGTAGATCAATCAATTTCATACAACACTTTATCTCTCTTAAGGGCCCCCAGATTTGTTTAGAAACAGATTCCTATTTTAATATAATTGAAGTTGTACAATAAAACTATAATTCTTCTTTATGCATAATATATTTTAATTTAATTTGTATGTTTTTAATCTGACAAAACAATAGAAATTTATGAATTATTAACATTTTTTGCGTAAATAAAAGGCATCAATTGACGTCTTGGTTCTGGAAAATTTCCATGGGCTCACAGATTGCAGCTCTGGTGCCGCCCTTTTCAAATTAGCCACATCCTGCTGATTTTGATTAATGCTGGTCAAAAGGGCATAAAAGGGTTGGTCAAACTTTGATTTACAACATTACATGACATGGTAGCTTGGTTTCCCATACGAGCAATCGTCTCGAAAATATTTGAGACATGCGTATCACTACTTTCTTCCCTTCCGCCCTGGCTTGATGTCAAACGGGCTTGTCAAACATAAGCGTCGTTACTTTTTGTAACTTTTAAAAAAAATCATTATCTTAATAACGCTGTTGCCAAGAAACCTGGCATGTGCCTTTTGACAATGAAATCTAGTCAGTATTATTTGTTAAGGCATATACTTCGTTGGCATGAAATCTGCCTGATCGATGTATATTTGTACGTATATTTCCTGTATAGGTCGTGAAATATTACTGATTACTTGAGTGTCTTAGAATTTGCATTATCAGTATCAATAAGTGAAGATTTATGCACATGACTTAATGTCAGTATTAAAATTTCATGTAATTTGGTCGTTTCGTCATTCTTGTTTCTTTAAATTTTTACCAGCTCAGGATTTTTAAAGTTGAAGGCATGGAAATTGCCTTCATAGTCTCTTGAATTCCAATTCAAGTATTGATACATATGACAACTTTTACCATTGATATGATTTATGAATTTCTTTCCCTCAATTTTCCCTCAAAATTGGCCCCGCCCCGGGGGGTCATTGATTTTCCCTATATGCATATAGTAAAAACTTAAAAAATATTCGTTTAAAGAACTCGAAGAGCTATGGCTAAGATATTTAGCATCAAACATGTTCTAATAGGTGTCTACCAAGTTTGTTCAAATAAAAGCCCTGGGGTCAAAATAAGCACCGCCCCGGGGGTCATTGATTTTCCTTATATGTGTATAGCAAAATTTAAAAAAAATCTTCTTTGAGAAAACCCAAATAGCTAGAGTTAAGATATTAAGCATGAAACATCTTTTAGTGAGTGTCTACAAAGTTTGTTCAAATAAAAGACCTGGGGTCAAAATTGGCCCCGCCCACAGGGGTCATTGATTTTCTTTATATGTGTATAGCAAAAACTTAAAATCTTCTTTGAAAAAACCCAAATAGCTAGAGTTTAGATATTAAGCGTGAAACATCTTCTAGTAAGTGTCTACAAAGTTTGTTCAAATAAAAGCCCTGGGGTCAAAACTGGCCCGGCCCCTGGGGTGTCATTGTTTTTAACTATATGTGTATCGTAAAAACTTTAAAAAAATCTTCTTTTAAAAAGCCCAGTGAGCTAGGGCTTAGATGTTTAGCATGAAACATCTTCTTATGGGTGTCTACCAAGTTTGTGCAAATAAAAGCCCTTGGGTTAAATTGGCCCTGCAACGTTGGGGGGGGGGTTGGGGGGCCTATATACAGGTGAGCGACCTCAGGGCCATCATGGCCCTCTTGTTATTGTTTTGACTTCTTCTCTTTTCCTTTTGTGAAAAAGTAAAAAAAATTCTATGACATAAGTAAAAATTAAGCTAGAGATAACATTCACTAAAACAAATTATGATATGATTTGATATTATTATGTAAATTTGTGAAATGAATGTATGTGAAATTTATGTACATGTATGTCATAAAGGTATAATAAATAAAAAAAAATATTTGGCATGAAACATCATCTAGTCAGTGTCTACCAAGTTTATACAAATAAATGCCCTGGGGTCAAAATTGGCTCCGCCCGAGGGGTCATTGATTTTACTTATTTGTATATAGTAAAACTTAAAAAGTCTTCTTTTAAAAAACACAAATAGCTAGACCTTAGATATTAAGCATGAACATTTTCTAGTGGGTGTCTACCAAGTTTGCTCAAATAAAAGTCATAGGGTAAAATTTAGCCCGCCCCAGGGGGTCATTGATTTTCCTTATTTGTATATAGTAAACACTTTAAAAACTTCTTTCAAAACCCAAAATAGCTGAAGTTTAGATATAAAGCATGAAACATCTTCTAGTTTGTGTCTACCAAGTGTGTTCAAATAAAAGCCCTGGGGTAAAAATTGGCCCCGCCCAGGGGTGGGGTCATTGTTTTTCCCCTTATGTGTATAGTAAAACCTTTAAAAAAACCCAAAGAGCTAAGATATTTAGCATGAAACATCTGCTAATGGGTGTCTACCAAATTAGTTCAAATAAGGGCCCTTGGGTTAAAATTGTCCCTGCCCCAGGGGGGTCATTGTTTTTCCCTATATGTATATAGAAAAAGACTTGAAAAATCTTCTTATAAAAACCCCAAAGAGCTAGAGCTTAGATACTTATCATGAAACATTTTCTAATGGATGTCTACCAAGTTTGTTCAAATAAAAGCCCCTGGTTTAAACATCGGCCTTGGCCCAGGGGCCTATATACAGGTGAGCGATTTCAGGAGTATCATGGCCCTCTTGTTTATCCTTCCTGTTGTACTTGTTGAAGAAGGGTTTTATAACAATAACAACAACAATAATAATAATAAAGACTTTATTTATCGAAACAACTCATTTGATCAAGATATCAATCTTCCATGAGGCCCTCGACAAGGAACAATGTAAAAGTTTTCACTTTTAATATTTCTAGATCCTTTACATAATTCCCTATAAGGACGTCAGTTGCTGGGCGTCCGGTAATGATAACGAGCAGCACCTCCTCTCCCTCCAACTCAGCCAGTTCTAGTTCGTGCCGGGCTGACTAAAGGTCGAGCTCCCAGCGAACCTGCTCACTTCTTAGTAATGCTGCTTGCTTTTCTTTTAACTGGCGGAATGGGCAGCTTCACTAAGTTTTTGGGCAAACAGAAAGATGTAACATACGCGCTATATTTCCAATTTTATTCCAGAATCATATCTATTTTACAACACAAAGCCATAGGAGTATAGTATAAAGCGTATAGCGGTTATTTGAAATTTAAACATTTATACTTTCAATAATAACATAAATACAAACAACATACAAACAATTCATACATACTTACAAATTAACAAATTACAATAGAAATCATCTTTAACAATTACTGTGGGAATCCTGCTGCTAGTAATATTAAAAATATTAATTGATAGAAATACAGATTATCAACTTTTACAGAAAAATCTTAACATAAAATTGTAAATGTATTTTACCTTAACAATAATAAATGTAATAATTTAGAACAAAATTATTAGAACAATTATTTTTCTGAATGAAGACCAAAACAAAAATAAAGTTACTGAACAATGGTGTCTGTGCCCATAACGTAGTAAATTGAAGCACACACGATTCGTACTTTACATTCCGAAAGCGTAACTTCAACTGCGCTTTGGGAAGCCAAATTGCAGGAAGCGCCCTCCATTTTTTCAATCTTTTACAGATTGTTTCCAAACACTTTGGCTGTAAACTGTACCGGCAATCTGGACACCATCCAACAAATCAACAGATCATCTGATCTTTCTTCTTTTGTACCAAACAATTTTTCAAGATTGTTCTGGAACAATGCTACTTCTTTCTTAAGATCTTCCCCCTTTTAATGCAGACTTTTGCTTTATAAGTCCATGTATGTATGTCACCTTGAAATGTTGTACATACTTCATCAACAAGCTTCTTCTTATGGCAGGCTGAAATGATATGTGACATGATACAGTAGTTGGAAAATTGCAGTAAAGAACAAAGATCTCTACTTTGAAGTAGCTTTAAATACTTCTCATAAACATTACTGTAATAAGACTATCAAACAATTCTTTAATAAGTACTTCTATAATCTGAATATTAAAGAACTATAACTATAATAGACATGAGAACACACTTAACTATGTGATATCACACGTCTACTACGAACATTGAGAAGAAAAGGTTTTGAAGGAAGATAATTTTGTTTAAGTATAGTGTTTCAAAGGACTTGATCTTAATTATACATAATCTTACTTATATATATATAATCATTATTAACATTAACTTCATTGGAACATGCATCATAATTATGATGTCACTTGATATATGCTATTTAAGACCAATGTCTTGACGGCCTTTTTATATGCCCGAAAGAATTCCGGGCATATTATATTATACCCGTCCGTCTGTCTGTCCGTCCGGACCAACGATAGGGGGTTAAAGAGGTAACCAGTTTATGAGCTTCTTTTACATGGACTTTATGGGGAAATCAAAAAATATC